AGACTCTCTCTTTTTCCTGCCTGCCTGGCACCATATCTCCCCTCTTCTCTTTAGTTGTATGTATGAGCATTTTTATTTTATTGGTCTGTAGTCGGAAACATGACGTATCACACAATCCTCATTCTTGAAACAGATTCCATCCATAACGGAAGACAACATTCAGCTCTGTATCAAAAGGCACTTGCGCATCCTTAAAAGCAAGAGAACTGCAGAGATTTGCATGGGAGCAGGTTAATTTCTGGAGGACAGCAAGTCCTCATAATGTATAAAGGGAGTTCTCTTATAGCATGAGTCAAAGATGAGAGTCTATGTTTTGTCCAGCTGCACTGACCACTGTGTTTGGTAACTTGCAGTCCTGTATTGCTGTTGTTCTGTCTTCAAGCACAGAGCAACAGAGCATCTCATCAATGTTCCATTTACTTAGTCAAATCCTTTTTACATAATCTCACACTACATGTCAGTGTGGTACTTTTACTAATCAGAGAGAGGTTAAATTCGGGAAAGGTAAAAATGGAGCACACTGCAGTGAACTGGATCTGATTCATTATGCACGTAGTCCAGTACACAGTCCTAATGAGCATCCAGCACCATGTGCCAGAGAAGGATACATACGCAGACTGAAAGATTTCATTTTTAACTGCTGGAGAAAGAGATGTTTGAAGGGTAAGATTTTAATGTTCCAAAATGCAATGTGGATGTTCTTTTCACACACAGAAATATCCACTCCATCTTAGAAGCTCATTTAGTTTGGCATGAGTGACAACCTGGTGCAAAAAGTTTCTCAGAGATCACCTTTGTCTCATCAGGATGTTGAGAACCCCCGTTTGCAAAAAGCTGTGCCTCTTCATAACATTTGCAGAATTACAGACCAACAAACTATGGAGTGAGACTTCTCCCACAGCACGAAGCAAGTAGCCTTTCCCAGTGAGTTTATCATGCAGGTTTTGCCAATTATTAAAAGCAAGCCGTGACAGGTAAAAGCAGGAAGAGGATGCCTGGGGAACAGAGATTTGTATAAAGGTTAGAGGTAGCACGGGCAATATTGGTTACAAAAGCAATCAGGCAAAGACAAACACAAAAAAGGACAATCACATCTAACTACACACAACACACTACATGACATGGATGACGACTTAAGCAATAATACATGTAACACTGCAACAGCAGTGAGTACTGAATATATCATCTGCATACCACCACAGTAATACGGAATTGAATATCAACACAACAAAGGCAAGTTACAGCAAAAAAGACTTCACAACGATCTCCCAGACCACTTTTTGGGAAACTGATTTCTCATTCAGATTTTTTTTTACTTTAATACTTCTATTGCTTTCTGAACTAACTTCAATGCTTAGCACAAAATTTAGGTAAATTTAAATTGCTTGATGTCTGTCCTGCGATTGGTCTCCAATGACTACACACACCCAGGCTGTACAAAGAACAATGAGCATGTCTGTTTTGGTATATAAAACATTGGCCACTTCTCTGTATAAATATGGTGACATCCCAGGCAATGATAGTCTTGGTCCCTGCTGAGTTCCTGTTTTTTCTTGTTTCCTACGTTGCTCTTGGAAAATAAAATCTAAAAACCTCAGGCTCCTACTATCAAATGCAGGTTTTCATTTTGGAGGGTTATAAAACAGCAACAGGCAGGCGTGATGACAGGAAAGACAGGATTAACAGAAGGAAGAAAAAGATGTTGCTGAACGGAAGGACAAGAAAAGAGAAAGGAAGCTGCCTATTTTGCACACATGACAGCAGCTAGTCAGCCAGCAAATAACAGCTGCCACTCAGCAACACTTCTGTCTCCTTGAAGGAGATACATGCTAGCAGCTGCCATGAGGAAAAAGAAGTTTAGTTACTTTACGAGCTGTATTTACTGGTTCCTTTCTCCCATTTCCATTAAAGATATCACTTAAAACTATATCACCAGCATTCACTGGGTATAAAGCCTTTCAATGCCCTCAACTTTAACAGTGAGTTCTGCATATCCTGGTCTTCTTTTTCCAAGAGCAAAACGTGCTGGAGAGCTACAGAACTATAATGACACATTTAAATGAAACGTATCTGAAATAGGTAAAGTTCTGAGGGCAGAGTTATCTACAGATGAATGCTTGAAGATGAGAGTACCAATATTTTCAATAAAAGATGTCTGGCTGTACAGTAATTATCTTCTGCTTGTAATGAGATAATTTGCTGCACTAGAAGGCACATTGTTGGATATCTTGTCTAAAAAAATAAAAAATAAAAGAAACAAACCAAAACCCCCACAAACAACATAAAATTAATAGAAAAGATAGGGCTCAGAAGGAACAGCAGGAGTTCCTCTTTTTCGATCAGGATAAACTATATCTCCAACATTCCTGGCAGATGGCTGTATCGCCACTTTTTAAAGACTTCAGTGCTGAAGTCTCGCAGTGTTACACGATCCCCAGGAACATATTATAACGTTTCACCTTTTTCTTGCTGAACAGTATTTCCCAATACTAGTCTAACACTATTTTCTAATGTCCAGATTGAAAATGTAATTTAAGTCTAATACCAACTGCTCCATCTCCCATGGACATGGAAATCCTGGGGTTTTGCCTCTGACTCTTTGTACCGCCTTTGACGCTATTTAGGTTACGCTGCTGTCATGTCTCCCCTTAGTCTTCTCATCCCTAGACGAACCATCCCAATTCCTTCAAAAAACTATTTTATTGGAGTGTAGCACCCAAAAATGGTCAAAAGAGGTCTCACAGGTCAGCAATGACAGGGATCCTAACTAGCATGTTTGCTTGTGGTAATACATGAAGAGAACTTTGCAGGTAAGACTCTGTATAATGCTCTTATTTTGTTTTGTCATACATGATCAACAACATTGACACAAGAATAAATAAGAGTATTGTCAGGCCTCAGAAGGAATAAGTATCTAGGCTGAATTCAGGCCAAAGCATTCTGTGAGCAACAAAATAGACAGTTTTGTTTGCTTCAGAATGGTAAAAAAAATTTAGTCAAATGAAGTATTTTCTTGCTATTTTTAGGAATAGTACAAAGGAAATGCAGGCACCAGTTTTCCTCAGTGATGTGACTGTGTGTAAGATGTCAAGAGCATTTTACTTCAAAAGTATATATTTTAATACAAGTAAAATGCAAATGCATGCAAAGGAGCAGAGTATATGTAATGATATAAAATTGGAAGACTTCTGAGCATTGCTCAGCCTGTTAGCTCCTTCCATCTGTAACAGCCCCAAGGCAAACATTTTCGTTTTGTGGGGCTCTTCAATATGCTGTATCCAGAGTTTAGTTGTGCCAGCAACTTACAAAACACGATGAATGATGCAGTAACTTTGCAATTCTACTTGTCATGGTTACACACAGCCTCCCTAAAGATCACCCTAACTCCATGCCTTTTAGCGGCTGACGTTTTGAATTACTTTGACAGCAGCAAAGCTTAGTCCTAGCTAGGCTAAGCGAGCAGACCCAAGAACTGCTACTTCAGCCCTGGCAGAGGAAGACATTCCCTAGCTTGCACCTTCAGGCTTTGCTAAGCAGCCAGCTTTGCTCCCATGGGGCAATTAGCATGCCACAGTCCATGATATCTTACTTTGAGTGAAAGTACTAATGACACATTTTGGAATATTTATCCAACTTATGTATCTCCTGGGAACACTTCAACAGTCTTCAGAACCTAAGCAGAGGTAGTCTTAGGCAGAACTGCTTCTCACAGGGAATATTACTTCGGAGATATTTAAATATGTGATTCCTTCTGTGTCTGCTGTGTCAAAAGATATCAAAAGGCCAACATAAGAGCCTGCTCACTATGTAACCCATTCACACTAACACACTACATACGATACCAAACACTCCAATGAATTACTCTTGATTGAAAAGTAAGCATGAGTAAAATGAACATTTCTCTATTTAATTTCGTGAAGGAGATGAAGGATATTCTGTCAGTTTCACCAAGAATCATTTGCTGGGGAAAAGGAATAAATTCACCTTGCAGTTTCCAGACATAGGAACATTTGTTAGAAAATTGTGTCAAAGTTATTTACAAATTACCAGGAAGTGTCAATAGAATAGCAAGCAGCCCACCCTCCAGAAATAAACTCACAGCAAGCAAAGTATTTCTGTGGGGCCTGACACATTGTACCAACACTAAGCTATACACTGGAGATATTTCACTCCTTCTTCAGTGCTGATACTCATAGATCCATATGGATAAACAAATGGCCAGAAGAGTAGAATCAGAATAAAATTCCCAGCCAAATAATGTCAGGTTAAACTGTAACTTGATTTCTACTATGTATGTATATTGCAAAATCTTCAGTAACACTGTGATACCACCCTACCTTCTGCATTTATCAGCCAATTATTTATTATATCACCTTACATTCTATAGAGATGAGCTGCTAACCAGTCATTGTAAATGATAAAGAAAAATTAAAAGATGAAGTCTACTGGACTGTCATGCAAATCAATTCGTGCTGATACACAATATATTCAAAATAGTTGCCACCTGCCTCCCTCATTCAAAAAAAGAATAATACTGTTTTGTTTTGCATTTTTACAATTTGGCTTGTTTCAGGCACTGTTCAAATTTTCACCTGGTCATTTCACACAGGCACTGAAACAGCATCCAGTCTTCTAAAGACTGAAACAACATCTTTCCTACTAAGTTCAGAGAGACAATTAGCTCTGGCGAAAAAATAATTTAAAAAAAAAATCACTGAAAATCCAGTCAGCTACATACTCCTCCTATCAACATTCGTATTTTGACTAAGTGACAGGTGTCAATGGTGGCAGGTGACAACTTTGAATTTAATATTTAAAGCTCTGACTGTACATCGATTCTATTTAAAGCACTGAATTTAGAAAGGTAATGAGCTTCAATATTGCCCGTGATACCACAGACCCATCACCCTCCTTGAAATGAGCAGTTTGATCATTCCTGGTCAAACCCCCCATGATTAGAGCACCTCCTGTGCTGCCAGTATTGAGAACAGGGACTGTACCGTCCGGCGTTGCCTGCTGACGGGGTTTTTTACATTTGACGTAATCGTGGTCAACTGGAGTGGCTGTGTAAGGTGGGGATGTCAGACCTGGACCGGAGGATGAGGGGAGGGAAGTCCCAGGGCCTGGCACTGTTCCCTCTGAAGAGTGAGAGTCTTCATCAATCATGCAAGCTTTTTCCCTGTGAGGGAAAAAAAAAAAAAAGGTGTAACATACTAGGGACATATAAAAAGAACAAAAGGAGACTACATATTCTTATGACATTTCCAATACAGTAGTCAAATCTTTCTAACAAATTCTAAATTATGGATTTTTAATACAGGTTCTATTCCTCCCTTGTCGCTGGCCATCAGTAAAACATTTTTGTTATTTTGTAGTTAATCAGACAAATTAACAAATTATGAGGACTAAAATCTCTTATTCTTTAAAATGAAGGCCATTTGCTACAGCATTTTTTAATAGTTGATAAAAAAATAATTTTATTAATAAATAAAAACAGTGCCTTCAAAATGGATCACAAGATCAGAATTGTTCTATTTTTGTCCCTTTCTGTCTACACTGGGCAAATTATTGAGAAGATCTCAGAGTATACCTGATACCTGAAAAGTGCGAACATTAGAATTAACTCTAATCACTTTGTTTGGTTTATATTTCATTCAGCTTCATTTTAACAGTTTATTTTGCACTAGTTTATAAGTATGCTTTCAGAGGATACTCCTGGACTCACTTTTCTGGAACTTTTGGGGTGTTCTTCTCCTCACCCCTGGCAAATGGTCCCTCAGAAGCTTCTTTCATGAAACTAAGTAGTGTCTCTGCATCTACTCCAGAGTCTGGTTTCCCCACAAGTTTCAAAATAGAAGCATGAAGGCGAAAGTATACCTAGAAAACACCGCAGTCCATTCAGTCAGTAGAGAATTCATAGCTCTGCAACCTGTTACAAATAGTCTCTTCTGTGTAGAAGCTGCATGAGTTAGTAAAGAGAGTCACCTGTTACCTAAACTTACCTGAACAGGACTTTTCCTGCCTTTGAAACTTGCTTGTAAATTACAAGATCTGAAAACTGTGAAGATTTTATAACTGCAACCTATGGAATACAACAATGAAAGCAGACCTGGTCTGACTGGAAGCAAGTCACCACTGGGTATGTTCTAGATCCACTCTTTTTACCAGGCAACATGGTGAAAGCAAAGGTGTTATGACTACTGTTCCAACTCATGCATGAACTTACAGTTCCATAGGTATGAGACGCTTCTGAAAGCTATCCACGTTTGATTTTGATAAAAACCAGCTAATGAACTGTGTGCAGCAAAATGCATAAGTGGAAATTCCACCTGTCTGTCCAGTACAGATACTGGATACAGAACCCGCGCTTAAAGCAAAACCAGCCTGAATAACAGGCTCCCTTTTATTCTCCAAGTTAGTCTTGTAAATGTTCCCAGATGCAGAGCACCATGTGCATATGCCTAATAATATGCACTAATAATAACTGGTATTCCATCACCTGGAGAAAACACAGTTTTCAAGAATACATATTGAACGTTCTTTTACCTCCAACGCTTCCATGGCAAGTTCTGGTGGATTATGGTAGTGAATCTTCTTTGGATAGCGGGCAGCCTCCTCATGCAAGTAATGACCTGCCTGTTTGTAATGAAGCAGATAGACAATGGGAGGCTGCTTCTGCTTCTCTGCAATCTTTCCCAGCATGTAGTGAATAAGCCACTCCTCTTCATCGCCATCACCCTCACAGCGAGATGCTGACGTAAAACACAATTTGGCTGTCTCCAACATACTGTCTCGACGCTAAAATCGAATCAAGTGTTGAGAATACATGAATTCACTGTGGCTGGGATGAAAAATTCTAAAAATATTCTCCTGCATATAAAAGTGCATAACAAGGTACATCACTTAAAACATTTTCAACCTTAAAGGCACAAAACATATCCAAGCGATCAAATACATCTGTATAACCCACAGAATGTGTTTATGGATGGGTTTTGTTCATTCCAGTAACTACTGACACAAATAACCAGAAAAAAACAATACAACAGAAGTGTAAGACTATGCATATAAATATAAATCGAAATAACAAACCAATATACATGTCTACAACAAGTAATTTTACCACTTTTTCAGCATTGTAATTACCTTAACTCCTCAAAGAAAACAATATTATTTGTTTTGTTCTGCAACTAAAGTCTGCTGGAGCCACTATGGATGACTATCATTCGTGAAAAAAAAGTATTTCATCTTGCTTGGAATGCATCTAATTTTGAGCTGAATAAGGCAAGAATACTTCCCCACCCCTGGCGAAGAAATTAAAACCAGCAGCATAATTCAAGGTTAGCTGCCAATAAAGTCACATAAAAACGTACATCAAAAGATGCATTAATGTAATTTTATCTCTTTGAAAAATAAGTTTATACATTTAAGTTGTTGGGGTATAACAGTATCCTAAGCATTTGTTGCACTTCAAGAACTATAACACACCCTTTTCTTTCCCAAATATTTTGTAAGGAGAAGAGAATGTATGAAAAACATTGCTGAAGAGATATATACCTGGAAGGGAGATGATATTGTTCCAATTTACCTTTTATTATAATAGAGCTTTTCTTACTAAATTATGCCTTTTTAACATAGTCACAGGGAAAAAAGTAGATTCAAGTAATAAATATTCTAATTTAATCCACAACTTAAGATGAGTGCTCTGTATTGTACCTTTTGTCTGATAATATGAAGTAACTCCAGCATTATCCCTGGAATTCTTCAGCAAGTCCCTCATAGCCAGGAGGCCACAGGACAGCAACACCAAACTTTTAACAGATCAAAGGCATAAAATGTAATAACTTCACTTTCTGAGTAGTTAGTTTTGGAGCTCTTAAATATTATTAACAAATAACCCTCAGAAAGAAAACTCTGTTGTTATCAGTCATACCAGACATACTATTTAATAAACCATTTGTTCGCCTTTAATATGCATGCTTATACCGTCTGTCTTCTTAGAGGGTCAAATGCTGTGTAAGAGTCTATGGGAAGTGCAATGTTAATACAGTTATATAGGAGCTCAGATGCAAGACCCATCACCTTGCTGCAAATATGTTCTCCTGGAAACAAAGGATGTTCCCAATGTTCTTCTCTATCGTTCAAACACAAAGTTTTTACCAATTACAGCAGATGCCCAGGAGTAGCACTTTTTTTTCATTCTGCTTCCAATTATGGATTGCATAATATTTGTAAGTCAGCATAGTTACAACAGAAACAGAGTTTACTGGTCCAAAAAGACAGACAAAACATTTTGCCTAGCAACTCTTATCACTGTTAGAGAGTAGTTGGAATTGCTCATTTTGGTTTAGTGCTAAACTTCATAACAACTCTAACTTTTTAATAATTGTCATGCATAAACAGCTAATGAATTTATAACAAGTTTTTTCTATTAAACTTCTATCAACCTCCTCATTTTGATCTATTGTTTGAGTAAATAGCCCAAAAACATAGAAAAGGGGTAGGATGTCTTCAGATTCAAGAGATGACATGTGGACACAGATATCAGAGTAATTCCTCATCTTTTCACTATTTAAATACGTATACATTTCACCTTTTCCTGGAAACATTGTATGACATTTACAGAAAGGTAAGGTAAATACAACTCCCCTTTCCAGAAGGTTACAATAATTTTGTGTCACCTTCAAAAGATAATTCAAAGATCAGGCTCAAACTACTTTTACACAGGAAAAAGAAAGAAAGAAAAAACCCTTTAAATATTGCTTGACACCAGCCGCTTATATGAATGAATATTAGAATTTCCAATATTACTAAGTAACCGTACAGTCTAATATGTGGTACATAGCATGTAAATATTTAATTTAAAAAGTTAAAAGATAATTTAAAATATTTCAAATTTCATACTGTTCTCAGATCCCACCTGCTGCACAACTTCAGGGGGGAGTTCTGCTTTCCACTGCTTAAGCTGTCGGGATGCAAAAGAATGCAGGGCATAGGAAATGGTGCCGTATTCTATCCACAAGGAGAGATTGGAGCTGTCAATCTCTAGGGCTCGCTTGAAGCAATTCAAGACGGGAGTAGAGTGCTTCCAGATTGGGCCATCACTTTTCAATTCATTAGAGTTCAACTTGTCCTGAATACGACTTGCCCGAGCCAGAGCCATGCCAGCCCATGAATCAAACCTATGAAGCAAGGACACAACAGGTGAACAATTTCCCCTCTAAACATTACACTGAATGGCATAGACAAGATTAATTTTGTTATATCCGAAACTTTCTCTTCCTTTCATCATATGCTCTCTCCGTACAGATTTCTGCATCTCCTCCCCTCACAGTGGAACAGAGGCTTGTATAGCCTAAATCATACATAAGAAAACTGGTTTCCTAATAAACCATTGTGCCCAGTGATTGTCACACATGAAAAATAAATGAAACACCAAGGTTTATTTGCCATGCAAAAATAGCGTATCTATACTTCTAGTGGCAGCACTCACATTGACTTATTTTCTCAGTAACCCTGCTGAGGAGTCCAAACACTGTCACCCTGTATTTCTGTAAGCCAGCAGACAGTCATTGTGGCATTCTGTATTGTGGGACTGAACTATGAATGGTCTTTATCATCATCATCATTTTCCAACACAAAAATCACAAAAACCAAAATGTATAGGAAAATTCTGATGAACAATAGATTGCTTATTGAGGGGGCTGCTCAGGCTAGTCCTGTGTTTATTAGATCATTGGCAAGACGGTCTGAAGAGTAGCTTCTATATTCCTTAGCCTCAAATTAACAACTGGGGTCAGCAGCTCTGGAATTTTTCAATTTTACCATGATTCTAACACCAAAGGAATTACCATGATGTTCACACATTTTTGCTTGTGATTTCTTGCTGATTTCAACTGAAAACCCATTTCTGGGTCAAGTGACCCCAATAGTCGGATTCCTGAGGGCAATGGAAGGGGAACCATAATACAGACATTTGAAGAAGTAGTATCTCACGACTGGGGTAGAAACACTATGCTGCCACATAAAGCATCTTCTGAGCAACAAAATGTCACACATTAAAGTAAAAATATATTCCACTGTCATTTATTTATGAATTTAGGTTTTAAAGTATCAAAACTACAGAAAAATTGGGATGGTTTTTGGTAATTTCTTTATCAGGCTTTAAACAAATTGTTAGCAATCTGCTAATCACAGTTCCCAGACTAGAAGATTCAATAACATCAAACTACAGCTATTTCCTCTGGAGATTTCACATATAAAATTGCTCTGTGCCTTCGCCTTCCCTTTTGTCTCTGTTATGGGACTGCACTTAGAAATAGTTTTCTTGTCTCAAGTCTGTCAACCAGGGTTTTTGTCACGGGCCCTGATTTATCAACTTCAGGGAAAATTAAAATGATTGCATCTAATGTGCAAACCCTATATTTACTCAGTAAATTCAAAATTATTTCATTTCATTTTAGAAGACTTACTCAAAACATGCTTTAAGATAAGAGACTTTAATCTTGGTGGTATTTCAGTAAGTTGTACATTGTCAAGAAACAAGGCGTTTAAATATCACTTAAATACTTTATTTGAGCTTGCATTCTCTGAATAGTTCTCTAGCAGCAAGATCAATAATTTTAGAAAGAGGTCAGCCTAAACAGTTAATCTTATTTCTGCTATACCTTATGCTATTAAACAGTGACATTTTTCATTCCTTGTCATGTTTGAACATGTCAAAAAAAAGAACAAAAGGTGCAAAAAAGAAATACTGATCCAAGGACTGATTTAAGCCCTTCCCAGTTATTCTGTATTTTAATTTAGCCCTCACACCCTTTCACTTTTTCGTCTGAATTTCAAAACAATCAAATATTTAACACTAGGGTTTGGTTTTTGTTTTGTTTGTTGGGTTGTTTAGGAGATGCCCTTAATTACACAATCTACCTACAATAATGGATTCCACGCAGCACTTTTAGGTTTGGGTTTTTTTTAACTCTTAAAACCAAAATAAATATATTTTGTTATCTGCTTTTCAGTACTGAAAGAAGTGAGAAGAATGAATGATGTGCAGCAGGATTCAATAACACTGACCTGTTTGGACAAATACAAATGTCGTGCATGTAAAATTTAATGGCCTTAGACTGTTCTTTATTCTTGAAATGATAATCTGCCAGAAGATAGTACAACTCAGTCACCACTGGTGGAGAATAGTCTGCACCATCCGGGAGCGATGGTGCCTGAAAACAGAAAAAAGTAAAGGTTCATATTAAATAAAATGTTCATATTAAAAGAGCTACACACTTGCTTCTTCCTAGTGAAAGTAGCCTTTTCAGCACAGAACAGGAAAGCATTGAATAAGAAGTGAAAGCATTCCACAGATACACAGAGCACTTTAAAACTTTAATGAACATCCCGTACTGACTCCATATTAATCAATATTACATCTTGCCATTCCAAGACTAAAAGCTTTGCTGGGGTCATTTTTATTTCATTTAAATGTAATTACCTGAGGAAATCCAACATCATGGAATAAAACATTCCCCTAACTATTTCAAAGTCAATATAAAAATAACAACAATCATTTTCACTCCTTTCAGTTTTGGTTTTTTTAAAGCAATTAACTATACCTTGCTGCTTGTTCCTTCAATATAGGCAGACACAGTATCTAGGCTCAGCATAGGCTTGTCTGTTCGAGGAACAATTGTAGCAGTCTTCTTCAAAAGGTTGGCCAGATCGGCAGACACAGTACTGGTTTTGTAACTATCAAATTCTGGAAGAGTTTTAGGCTTAAAATATTCAAACATGAACAAAGCATCTTCCCACGTTAGATCAACCTGAAGAGGGAGGTAGATGACAGGGGAAAAAAAATTATCTCAAATTCCAAAATTCAAAAGTCTACTAACAAGGAGTTTTATGGCTTTTCTAGTTTGTAAGAAAATACATATTACTCTGTAAGGAAATAAATTGAACTTCCCAAAAAGAGAACTAAAGGCACCATTAATTTACGCTGCTCACAAATAGAGCATACCACTCACTGATTTAAAAGGCTATGGTATCGGGCTGTAACTTAGTGTATGTCACTGAAAAATAAAGTCATTCTACTTGCTTACAAGAGTTGCTCAAAAAAATTGTTCCTAAGCAATAATCAATTGCAAGCACCCTGAGTGACACTGAGGTGATGGGCAAGGTACGGAGGAGAAAAGCTCTACACCTTCAATTTCAAACTCAAGTACAAAGAATAAATTAAATGGAAATCAGACAACATTCTGAGACTCAAAAAGCTTCAGACTCTTCACAGAAAGGTACTTTCAGAATTTATTTTTCATTTTCCTTGCACTTTCCTTTCTTGAAAACATTAAAAAAAAAAATAAATCACAGTTCTCTTCTGACAGACTGTTTTCTCCTTTTATTGTTCACCTTATTCCTTACATTCATTTTCTTCTATAATGAAAACAGAGAAGTTGCATTACTAAAAATCAATTTGTCAATGATGTCAATAAGAACTTTTTAATAAGAACAGAACTCACAAATATTCAATGAATAATAAAATAACAGTATTTGTGTATTTAAAAAGGTCTGTTCAAAAGGAGCCAGACAATTGTTTTGCTTGTACGATACTGGTTTTCATTTACCATTCTATGATCATTTGCATTTGGTAAATGCAAAAAATATTTGAGGTTTTTGAAAAAAATCAATGATGTTTCAAGGCAGAGGATGGCTTACCTGCTTTTTCTGTCCCTTCCTTAATACTACAGCCCTTCTCCAAAGGCACTCTGTAGTTGTTTTTTTCCCAAAATCAACAGAATTTCACGCATTTCTCATAAATAGCTATCAAATATTCACCGCCATAGATTTCAAAATAAGCTATAATATAGTTTACTTGCATAATTTTTAACAGTGACATTTTTCACTTTCATAAACTGCAAGGCTGGCTGCTAAAGTTTTCTTCTCTCAAGCTGACTTTTTTCCTCTCTAATTTTCCTCAACCTCGAACTTCTTCTCTGTTGAAAACAGGAAAGTCATGGCTCAATAAAATTGATTTGTCAATAGTTTCAAAACAGCAGACTACTGTGAATAAGACCATACTAGTATTTCATTTCAAATATCTGACCCTCTATATTCATAAAGGCTTCCATATTTTTTAAAATGAGCTTATTTTCTACAATATGTAAAACACATAAATTTTACAACAAAATAAAAGCAATCTTTCTCCAAAATATATCTAAGGTGCAATAAAACCAAACAAAGGTGTATCTTTCATCACTTCAGGATATTCCACTGACATTAAATAATACATATCTTACCTGTGGTACTGAATGTTCTTCTAAGTATCTTGCTTTGCTTTTTTTGCTAGGGAAACCATATAAACAATAAAAACACTGCTCCAAGGCTGTTTCCAGCTCTTCTTTGTATGGATGAGTATCTTCAGAAGTGGATGCTGCAAGTTCTTTTTGTAGTACCTGAACCTACAGCACCACAAATATAAATGAAAAAGTCATCTGCTAGCTGAAGACTGCATTGTTACCTAGCTGTCTGAAGGCAGATGATGAAAACAACATTAAGGAACTACACATATTTTTCCTCAATTACAACCAAGTATTACCCATATTTCTGTAAACTAAACACACACAAGCAATTTCAATGGCACTGTAACTGCAATAAAGTGCTTTTATTTTTTTCCTATGTTAAGTCATGAACTCTTGTCTTTAATCAATGAGATTAGATATCAGCTTAATGTTTCAGCCTTAAGATCATTCAGAGTTTTCCACTACACACAAAGTTGCTTTTGTGAACACAAACACTACAGTTCGTCAACACTGAATAAGGGAAAAGCACAGGATTTCTCCTCTAATACACAAACATCAATTTCCTCTGCATAGAAAAAGGGGGATAGAGAAGACTTTGCAGGAAAAGAAGGGATGGCTAATGAAAATCTGGCTAAAAGGGATATAGAATTGCACGGTATGAATAGTATTATGCAGATAGCTACACACCAAGGAAAGTGGCTGGATTGATGCCAAGTGACTAAACACTGTAGCAAGTTGCTATCTTTAACTTCAACATTACCAAAAAAAAAGTACCCATCAGGAGCATATTTTGTACATCCTATAACTCTAAAACATTAATTAAAGAAAACTGCAACTTAATATCGAAAGACAAAAGGTAATTATTTGAAAATTTTCACTAAGCTTCCTTGAAAAACAAAACAAAACAAAAGAACACATACCAGGAAGATATTGCAAAGTCAGCAGACACATGGTCACCAAGGGTAAACTGTGTAGTGGGTTTTTGAACCTTTGTTTCAAGAACAACACAAAACCTGCACTTAGTCACTGAGGTTTAAGAATCAATTCCAACATGTTCCACTAAGAAGATGTGACTTCTCCAAAGTCACACCCATTCCTCAACACACTGGTTAACTTAGGAGTTTCCTCAACTGAAATTCTGCATCATAAATTGAAAATGCAAAACATTCACCTATTTGCAATTCATATAAAAGCTCAACGTATTATTTTTACAGTACTTCAGCTGCCTGTTGATCCCCATTTATCATTTTTCAACATCTAGGATTGTACACTCAATTACTTATGCATACAATGCATGCTACAAGAAGCTTCTCATCGTGATTGGTTCTCCTGACACTACAAACACTACACACAACCAGAAGGCAAAATTCTGTCATTCTACATGTAAGAAGCTCATCTGTAAGTGCTACGATTAACTATAAGATGTTAATTCTCTTCTGCTTAAAAGATCCGTGCTAAGAACAAGGTACCATTTATTAAGAGCCAAAACCCTTCAAGAGTAAAGACAATTCCTAGAAGTTATTTCAATGAAATTTTCAGTCACAGCAATCATCTTTGAGTCACAGCAGACACCTTATTTCCACTACTTTTCCAACAAGAATTTGTGAACTTTTGAAATTTATGAAAAGTGTGGATAAATAAGTTGAAAGGAAGATGTAAGCATCACAGGATACCGCAACAAACACATGATATTTCTACTGCTGCAAACAAAATCACATCTAACACCAGTAACAGAATTCTCACTTGAACAGTGTTCAAAACAGTCTCCTGTGCTCTTATTCAGCTTTTAAATTCTTAGCAGTGACCCAGAATTGTTCTGAATAATTCAGACTTGACTATCGCTAAAGGACTTAACTACATATTAACGTCTTCTCTTGCACACCACCTTCAGCCACAAGCAATACAATGTACTTGAGCAGACAGTTCACCTACAGGAGGAGAGTGTTTAATACCAGTCTGTAAAACACACTTTTGTTTAACATTCTTGAAGCTGCCCTTCTCTTCAAATAATGAATCCCATTTTATCTTTGTCTTTCCTTATCCTTTAAACACCCTATTGTCTGAAAACCAAATTATTGTGCTCAATAATACCATGTTGTATTTTAGTTTAGGAAGTGGGCAATTCTGTGACTGAAAATTGAAGATTTCGTTCAAAGGACCTGATGACATTTGCAAACACCTAGCTGTATGTACATTCACAGCTCTCAATTATCTGTAGTTTATCCAGGTTCACAGGGCATACTACCAGACTCTCCAGGCTGTGGATAGAGGCACACTATACAGACGCAATTCAGATTCATCACTTAGGAGCACTGCATCCAAGGACAAGCTCGACTCTGGAAACAGGTTATTTTCATGAAGCACAGTGTCTGAGCTAATAAGCCCTCTGGACCCAAGGGCTTATTGCAGATCCATGCAAAGGCAACTCAGGTGTAACAGCATTATGCTTCTAAATACCAGTGAGACCAAGAAGAGCAGGATGCAGAGATAATCTAATAGTCCTACACCACATCAGCCTCAGTGCAAATACTCTTCGTTAGCTGCAGCCCTACCCGAGCGAGCCACCTCCCGCAGAACCCCTCAGGCTCTCCGCGCCATCCTTCCCAGCTGTCTAAATTAGTGTCCTGGGCACACTGCTGCTCAAATGCAGAGCTAGATGGGGTCTGGCACTGAGCTGTGGCTAATAAGCTCCAGGGAGCGCTGAGAAGGGAAATGAAGAGATTCTTGAGTGGCTCTATGCAGAACTAATCATGATTTTCTCTTCGCTGAAGCTAATAAACCTCAATGAAGTCAAGCTGAATCTGTAAAGTGCCACTGAAATACCCCTGCAGAGCCCTGCCCAGGGACTGCCATGGTACTGTATTATCTGGGGTTTGCCGACAGCCAGGCTATCCCAGACTGCTAGTACAGTGAAAAGCTGACTGCACTTCAGTTTCTAAGCTAAGGATAAAGTGAGGAAATAGCAATACACAAAGAAATATTCTCCTTCAACCATGGGAAATTTCTTTTCTAGTGTAACAACTAGACCTCAAGGAATAATCTTAAAAAGGTCAATGACTGGGTAACTCTCTTCATCTAATAGTGCTACAGCATTACTGCCCAGACACGCGTTTCTGGAGCATATTAGATCTTTTAATATACCCATCTCAACAACAGCGCAAAGAACAGCCTTAGACACAGGGAAGGAAGGACTGAAGCAACCCTTCATTCTCATCCGCTTTGTTCAATAAATTAACTCAATATGTATATTTGAAGTTATATCCAGTTAATAACATAAAAACAATAGAATTAAATACTTGAAATCCCTATCAAATATTTGAACCCTGAGGAAATAAAGGCATGGTATACAAGAAAACTGGTCTTTCTCAGGAAGAGGAGTCATGCAACATTACTGGCAATCACTTTAACAGCATTTTTCCACTCAAGACACTTGATACTCCTTTCTGGGGAATTAACATACTGATGGACACAGGTCTGACTGAAATGTTCATGTGTTTGTGTGGGAGAAGAAGGAAAGTGGCTTTCAAAGTGTTATTTTTAACATGAAGACAAGGCATTAAACAATCTAATAGAACTCTGAAGTTGTTCCCTGCTTTGAGATGGGCGTTGGCTAAGTGACTTTCAGAGGTCCCTTCCAACTATGTTATTCTATGATGCTAACACTTACATAGAACCTGAGAAGAGCGCCATCGGAATTGCAGCACCAGGATCTTCTGCCCAAATACTCATGAGCAGTGTTCAGCAACATGAGCGAAGAAGGCAACATAGGGGTATCAGGACTCACTGGAAGAAAGAAGTTGGTAAATATTTAAGCAGCACAGAACTGAGTTAAATCCAACTAGCCAATGCTTCATCTGGCAAAAATAAATTTCCTCTGTGATAAGAAAGTGATGTTTGCATACTCCCTTAAGCCAGCAAGACAAGACGACAAACAAGTATTTTCATATTTATATTCCAGAGCTAGATGTTAAAGAGCTCAGCTCCAATATGTGAAAGTGAATAATTAACCCACCTTCTTCTCCCTGGTGCTGCTGCTGCTGGCAGCAAAGAGATCGAAAAGCATCTTCCTCATGCTGGATGATCCTGTGCAGGATAATCCATGGAAGCACTGAGGAGACGTATGGTTCTTTTGGTTCTTCCTGAACTGCCATACTGCAGTCTATGATCTAATAGAGAAACAGACATTACACAGGCAAAGTGATCTGAAATAAACGTCAGGTGTGAATCTTTTCCAAACAGCTCAAAGTTGGTAATGCATTTTATCATAAGGGAAAATCTAAAGTTGAGTCTCAGCTTCTCACAATGAGTGGTGGTAAAAGTCCTACATTTTCCCTTCCCTTGTTATTCCCCCTAGTTATTTCTCTGTTGATACCATACACAAAGTAAGCAAATGTACAGCATAAACCTAGTGTTAGAAGGCCTCATTACTGTACAAGAAATTTATCTACAACCCAGCAAGAAAGAGGAACTTTGCTAAAAGTATTCCTCAGTTCTCTACCAGGTCTTACAGTTGTTCAAGACCAACTAGAATCATTAACAGATGCTACATAAATGATGTAACGGAATAAATTCTGAGCAACACAATGTTGTGTCATAGAACCATTGTCCTAGCATTTCTCCCAGACAACTGCCCATTTTATTGTCACAGTGCCAGAAATTTCTTAAGTCCTACACTTTTCTTACATTCATTCACACATACAACAGTTTTCCTACTGGTATGTATGTAGATGAAGAATCATATTTATTATTACTGCAGAAACCATTTAGAATATGACAATCAATACTCTGTTCTCCAGAATTCCATTACATTCCATAGCATAGTGATACACATACAACTTTACACAATGAGAGCATGATTTTGTGAGTAGTGAAGGTCCTTGGCTTTTACTGAAATAAACAGAGATTTCAGAGTTGCAAGCACACTGAATTTTGACATTAACTACACTAGCTTCTTAACAGAACTGAGAGTCTGTCATTTGTCACCTGGACTGAAAAATACTCATTCAGTAGTTTTAAGGCTAAAATTAGCTGTATCCATAACGCTAGAAACAGTCCAGACATTACTTTTTTTCCTCCCCTCTTCTCATCACCCTCTCTGTTTTCACCAGAAAAACCTTTAGCTTGGCAAGCACTTGCAAGCAACTCTACCATGTTCATACCATTTATGTGACCTTGTCTTCTAGCCCAAAGCACATACAGCCAAAATCAGTGCCATAACTTAGCAACTGCACCCAGACAGCTCAATCAGTCTTCATCTTATCACCATTTCAAATGGCATAAGAAAATAGTGTTGTTCCTTGGGTTATCTTATTACCATTCCTTGATTTTAGACAGTTTAGTGTTTGACAGTATCTGCTGTTACTGATTCTAGCACAGGTGGGCTCAGCGCATCTCCAACATACTGAAATGAAAATTAAGACTACGAAGGTAATGCTCATCTTCCCCTGACATTCCCCTAACAAAAATGCAACCCAAAATGTCACTGAAAGTGGGTGGCAATTCCAACACAGCAGCTGTATCATGTCTGAAGGTCTGTAGCACATAATTGCTCTTTCCTAGTGCAAGTGAACAGGTTACCTGAATCAGATTATTTGTTAATCGAACAAGGCTTGGTGTTACAGAAGAATCTTGCAGGATGCTGCTGACTGCTGATAATGAAGTATCTATTCCTGCGAGCAGTTGTGTTACCGTAGCAACCCACTCTTCTTTAGCAGAGGCTGCTGTCATATTAATCATCTGCTGAATTGCTTCATTCAAGGCAACTTCTGAGCATTCAAAGCATTGTTTGTAATCTTTCTGTTTGAGCAGGGAGTCCTAGGAAATGTAAATACGAAAAAGTCTATTATAAGTACGAAAGGTTTATTTTAAACCATGAAAGCACAGCAGCAGAAAGCAATACACTAGATACAGTTAATGTGGTTACTTAAATTAAACGATAACAGAACACCTTTAAATATGACATTAAAAAAGGACTATAAGAGGTGCATGGACCCTGGATGACAAATATACAAGTAGGATCTAAATTTCAAAAAGAATCATTACTGAACCTTTCTGCTTTAATAAGAGATGCAATAAAAAAAGACGCAGGAAAGGTATGGCCGTAGATCTAAACAGGGTTTGGATCTTTATTATAGCAACATCCTTCTGCTTCTTTTTACTTCGCCAAGTTTGGATCATGAGATGGCATGGAGGCTGTAGGATTTGGTTCAGGACAGTTAAAAGAGCATCAGTCTTTTTTTGTGCATTTTTTTTTTCCCATGGAGAACCCAATAGGCCCAAATTATTCCTGCGGCTAAACTCAATTCTACATTTATTTTCACAGTGTCAAATGGACTAAATCTATAGCAATTATACTGCATGTATCTGCAGGACAGATACACTACATCATAAAAATCATTCATATGGTAGAGAACTTTCAAATTTCATAATGGTTGAAAATCACCATGCAGTCAACATCAGCAAAAGCAGGAAGTATTCACAGCAGATGCAGATAGCACGAATCCATCCATAAGATGTCTCTGCAAATGATTCAACTTAATTTGAATTTATGTCTCGCTAGCCATTTAATGTAGGCCTCAGACATCTTATATCTTTAGCCACATCCTCAGTCAGCAAAAGCTGGCATACTGCTAATGATGTCAACAAAGCTATGCTGTTCAGACTATCAACAGATTTGGTTCCACATTTTGCTTTGTAAATAAGACTCCTTAACCATTAACATCCCCTCTAGAAAGCCTTTCATCCTGTTTTCAGGAATAAGTCTTAGCGCCTTACCAAAAAAGATTTTTTAAGAATCAAAACAAACCTGCAGAAGAAGCAGCTGTGCTGGTCTCTCTGGTATGGATGTTACAAATTCCAGATGTTTTGCTCTGCCATAACCGTTAAAGCATAACGTTGGACGAAGCAGATGCACCACTGCGTGATAATCCCCTGCCTCATACAGTCGCTGGATCTCTTCCAAAGACTGACATCTCTCCAGAGATTTTAGGTTCTTTTCAATCTGCAAACATCACAGATGACACAATCCAACCTTCATATTGTCTCCACATACATTTGACTACTGACATTTCTCTCAGCAGTTTGGCTATAAAGCTATAGAAATATATGTAATGAAGAAAACACCTATTATGTAATACTTGACACATTTCACAGATTGCAGAACTTCACCCATTTCACAGATTTTTAAATTATTGCATAGTATATGACATCAGTGCTATAATGATTTTAAACATTTTTGCCTCAAATCCCCAAATCACACATTTCTACACTGCAAGAATACATCCATTAGATGGACTTCAAAGTGAAGATAGCATCTTCTCTGTTGGAGTTCATCCCCCAAACAGCAATAGAAAGAACATTTTCCCTAGCCTTCCTATAGGAAGCATTTCTTCTTGCCCTTTATGTCTCCGTCCAGATTTAATTCTATGAGGGCTTTAGCTTTCCTAACCTGATCAGTAGATGCTCAGACTATTTATCTGTATTCCTCCCAGGCTACCCGTCCTTGCTTCCACCCTCTGTAGGCTTCTTTTTTGAGTTTAAGTTTATTCAGAAGTTCCTTGTTCATCCATGCGGGCCTCCTGCATTTTTGCCAAAGAGGAACTTTGTTGGAACGTGTTGCTCCTGAGCCTGGAGAAGCTGGTCCTTGAATATTAACCAGCTTTCCTGGGCCCCCCTTCCCTCCAGAGTTTTGTCCCATGATATTCAACTGAGCAGATCCCTGAAGAGGTCAAAGTCTGCTCTCCTGAAGTCCAGGGTTGTCAGTTTACTATGCAGCCTCCTCACTGCCCTAAAGATCTTGAACTCCAGCATTTCGTGGTCGCTACAGCCAAGGCTTCCCTTGAGTTTCACATTCCCCACCAGTCCCTCCTTGTTGGTGAGAACAAAGCCCAGCATAGCACCTCTCCTCGTTGGCTGCTCTATCACTTGCAGAAGGAAGTTGCCACCGACGCACTCCAGACACCTCCTGGCTTGCTTATGCCCTGCTGTGTTGTCTCTCCAACAGATATCGGGGTGGCTGAAGTCCCCCATGAGGACCAGGGCTTGCAAAAGCAAGGCTGCACCTATCTGCCTATAGAGGGTCTCATCTGCTCGTTCTTCCTGGTCCGGTGGCCTGTAGCAGAGCCCCACTATAATGTCCCCTGTCCCTGCCCTCCCTTTAATCCTGACCCACAAGCTCTCAGTTGGCTTCTCATCCATCCCCAGGCAGAGCTCCACACACTCCAGCTGGTCACTGACACAGAGGGCGACACCCCCCTCCTTGTCTCCCCTGCCTGTCCTTCCTGGAGGCTGTATCCCTCCATTCCAACACTCCAGTCATAGGACCCATCCCACCACGTCTCCATGATGCCAATGAGATTGTATCCCTGCAGGTGTGCACAGAAGATGGACATCCATTTATTTAAAGGGGTGAGAAAACTGTTATGTGGAAACAGACTGCTGAAGTAAAGAGCTCATGGCGAAATTTATGTGTAAAAACAGAAAATAAAACACTAGTCTAATAATCTACTGTTTTACATGCAGCTGCTCTAATATTTTTATTTTGCATAAAAGCAATCTTAAGTTGTACAGGACCAACTGATCTAAAAGGTGTCTTTTTGGAAAGGAAATTATGGCCTTGACATCATCATTAAACTACGAACCTGTCCTTTCACTCTTAGAAAAATTCTAGGACAAATATGGTAAAGATCCATCACAAAAGAGCTAATTCAAAGATGACCTTTGAAACTGGGAAGGATGAAGTGGGGAGAATACACCTGCAAATTAATTCTTACCTCTTCTAAAGAAACAACCGAATCAACATGTAGATTAGGTAACCGTATCACAATGCTGCATTCATTGCCTGGTTGAGCTTGCATTGTAGTGGAGCTCTGCAGCATTTCAGTGCAGATATCATAGTTTTCAAGTGCCTGTTCCATGTCTCCCTATAGAAACAATACAGAGGAAAAGAAACAAACAAAAATACCCAAAGTTCTGTCTGCAGCAACTGTTTCTAAAGCATGTAGAAAATGTTTAAATTCAATGCAGGCATGGCCAGTGTGATTACTGTACATCCTCCCCCCAAAAAAACCAAATCCAACTGATAATCTCCAATTATAAGAAGAAAAAAAAAAAAAAAAGCAGTATATCTCAGCAGTGACTTTAATAACAGGTAAAACAAAGCAGAGAAATAGAATTCAGCTTGCATAAATTTGAAAGATTAACTCTGATTGTTAAAATCCCTTTCCTTTAAAAACATGGAAGAATAAAACAGCAGAAATAACCTCCATTTGTGCAAATAAAAACAGTGAATCAGAAAGCATTCCTATATTCTGCAAAGTGAATGCATTCTACTCGCTCTGTCCAACTAAAGTAGATACTGAAGTCCAGTAGTCAGGAGAGGAATGAAAGCTGCACAGGAAAAATATAACCCTATATATCCAAATATGTTAGTAGCCATATAGGAACTCTTCTTTTTCCTCAAGTAAATGTATTAGAAAGGAATCCTCAGATGCAAAAACTAAAAAAGGAACTAACTGATTAGTTCACAGTTATGAAAATGACTCACCGTTACTAGTTAACAATTGACTTAAACATAATTGATACATAAACAAACTCTGATGTCCTGAGGAAGCAACACTTGGAGAGGAAAAAAAATCTGGGATCAAAAGACGTTTCTTTCAAATTATTCCCTTAGTGACAGGTTTAAAACCTCTGCTTCAAAATCTGCATATCAAATAAAATTTCTCCAAAAGAAGAATCATGCTACCTTAGAAAAGCAGAGAGGACAGTAATTAAACATACAGTCTGCTTCAGCTGAAAGCTGCATTTCAGACTGTCTGGGACTTCGGTAGTATCCACTAATCCAAGCCCAAAAAAATCCAGGTTCTGCAGCTACATACTACTACTCCAAATAAAAAAAATATATTTGGACCAAATTTAAGTTGAACACAAGCTAATTTAAACAAAGACACATTAAACATATCTGAATATAAGCTTAGCATGTGAGACCTCCTACTTCATTTCCACCTCAACCCTCAGGGATAGCTAATTATATCAAAAAGTAAAATGAAATCACTGTGTTTTGAGCTGATTTTATCTGCATGCTTAAACGAGCTGAGATTCACAAATCAGCTGTAGTATCTCTGAACAACATTGATTTTAATATGGGAAAAGTTTTATTTGGTAAATCAAAAGTAGAACAAACCTGCAATGCTAGAAAGCGAGCTTTCAGCCAATACACCCGAGTGACAAACTCCATCCAGCCTTCCTCAAATAAATCTCGCTGTGAGGATGCAAACGACAGCTGCAACAGGTCTCCCAAGAAATGAATTCCTGGGAAGTCAGGCCCAAACTTTCCATTCACAGAGGCAGCAGGGCAATTTCGTGAAGAAACTGCAAATCAATTAATTACATTTTATCATAAAGTTACTAGCATCCCCTGAAAAGAGTCCCACATACCAGTACTTCAAAAGTACTAATCTACTTTAAGGCAAACAATGGATAGACCAATAAAATATAGATCTGAAAGACATTCATTAAGAAAAAAATAGTTCCAAAATCCAATTAATTCCTGCAAACATTTCTTCATATATCCAGAGTATTCTTAAAGTCTAAAGAAAGTAACATCCAGTTCTCACCTGTAGAGCTCTTCCCTTTTGTCAGTAGCCACTGATCCAATTGCAGTTCCATGCAAGAAAGGCTCATCAGCATCATATCCTTCAGAAAAAGTATGGAGGTATCAAAAAAGAGTATACAGGAAGAAATACATTAAAAGATTAATTAAAAAAACCCCACCACTAAATTTGCAATTTACTTCAAAGAAAGCATTCATCTTGTCCTCTTGGGATTTCTGTTCCCAAGTTATAACTACTTCTTCCTCTGTCTAAAGGTGTATAACAGCATTTACAAATAAACAAGTACAAAACAAAACTTAGAAGAAGCATTTAAAAAAAATAAAAATCTCAGCTCATAAAAAAAATGTAATCAGAACAGCATTGCCTCATGTTAGAAAAAAAGTGACAACATTATTTTTGTATCTGGCTGAAATAAGACTATATTAAATTGCTAAATCATGCTGAAAGGATGTTGAGAAATAAAAAGTCTATATCCTACAATTTTTTTGGTATTTATCTCCATGAGACTATGTACTCTAGTCTTATCAGCTTATTAATGCTTGCTGGATAAAGTTCAGGAGTATATTAAAAATCACGTCACCATGGATCTCTGCCAGGCAGTTTGTGCCGTGAAGAATATACTATTTCCTCGTAACTCTCATAAGATTAAGGGCTACAGGTCCAGCTGTAAAAAACAGGTGCTTGTGAAAAGGTTCAAAACTCCATACACATTACCAGAATAGCCCTTCTAGAGTCTTATAAAACCTGAATTTATTACCCTCAGGATAGCCTGCAGATCAAGTTTAAAATAAATTCAAGGATGAAAAAGAATAGACAAGCATGAGGACAGTGATTTTAATAGTATAGCTACAAAGTCCTGACTTTTTAAATTTTACACACAAGCAAGCAGTTATGCAGTCATAATGAGAAACAAGGGAATATATTTATAAATATACTTACACATGTCTAAAAAAAAGGGTATGTACATATGAAAAATATACAGCAATAAAAGAGTCACAGGATGTATAAAAAATTTAACATCTGCTACATAGTGATACTTTGTTTTGTAAACTAAGTCAACAGTTTTCAGAATTCATTTTTTCATTTGCAAAAAACACTGTTGATCTGAAAAAAAAAAAAACAACTTTCCAAACTGCAGTCATCCTAACGGCAAATAAAGAACTTTCCAAATGAATACACATTCCTAACATTGAAAAGATAGCACAGGCAGGCTCAGTGGACAAGAAGTACTGGTACTGACTTTATAGTTCATCTTGTGTCGCCAAGCCTTTTTAATATTCATGAACTTACCATTTTTTCTATTTGCATTTGTGAAATCTACAGATTTATAAAGGTAATAAAATAGTAATGCTGGAGCATGTGTAGTTTTGTTTAGGTTTGGTTTTTTACCTGATGACAAAACAAAACTTTCTGCCATATTAGAAGCAAAGGGAGGGAATAAAAAGAAAGAGCAACAACAGAGTAAAGGAGTAAAATATATTTAAGCCTTTAATATTTATATTACATCTACATGCATGTGCATGTATGTACACACATGCACTATGTAGACAGTATATTTACATACGGCATCACCCAGATACGTTCAGGAGCTCAGAACAGTTACGTGAGCTGCAGTATACCACAGTTTATGAAAGATGCCACAGCTAGGGCAAGCAGCTCCTCAGACAGAGCTAAGCAAAACCTGCGTCTAATTGCTGGCTGTCAGTTAGGTACTTCTGGTGCACAGAGAGCAACGCAGTGGCAAAGAAACAGAAGTGTAAGGAAAAGTGTTTCATTACCTTGATATGCTGATTACTTGAGTCTCTCAGTAACGGATTGGGAAGACTACTACTGTGCTTTCTCCAGCTATGATAGATACTAAGGACCACCTCACACAAGCCAGGAGGCCACTTCACTAGGAACTTTTGGCTGATGACTTTTAGATATCTCATCATCAGCTCCAAGATCCCACCATTGTTCAGGTTATCCATCAGGAATTCATGAACATCCTGTTTTTCTAGAAAGCAGACAAACACAAAGCCGTATATATTTAAGGTCAAAGCAGACCATAACTTGAAATAAGTAAGTTTCAACAGCATTTTTTGCACTAATGTTGCAGCAGTCCTCCTGTGCTGCATACATGCAGAATTAAGTTATTGTATTCCAGTCTGTTTAAATGGGAACCTCCACACAACAGAGCTTTTGCGCACAGTAATCAAGCAGTCCCAAAGACTAAAAAAAAAAAAAAACACACCTGTTACCGAGATATTTCTATGCCATAGAAATACGCTTTTAAAAAATAATATATACTGTTGTATCTTCTAGATATAAGATAGGAAAATACAGAAAATAAAGCATACAATATGGAGGAAACATCAAAAAGTGGGGGTTATAATGAAATCCTTACCAGATTCCATAAATGTTGTAGAATCAAATGACATTCGATGTGGTCCAACATGCTGGAAATTCTCTTCTTTGATCTCTGACTGCACCTCATAGTTATTGAAAGGGTCCTCCTCCTCCTCCAGATCTAATTTCCTTAATCTGTGTGAAAGGGAGGCAAAAACCACAATATCACTTACTAGTGAGGATTTTGTTGAAACCTAAACATGGTATGTTGTGCACATTTTAACAGTGAAAGCACACGAAGCACGTTCAGAGATTTACACCCAGTTCACAAATTCTGTAACCCAAATTTTGTCCAAACTAAGACTACCTTGTTCGTTGACCTTATGCAATTTGACATTTGCATTGTCCTCTAATTCAGTTTCACATTAATAAAAGCTTTCTTATTTTTCAATTAGTTTTTAGTTAAATTCATGACAAGACAATGTATCACACTTGCTTCAAAAAATAACACAAGTTTTGTGGTCTTACCGTTGAGGCATATCAATCAAACAAAACCCAAAACAGCTTCCTCTACTAAGCTCTCGATGCTTTCATAATGAAAGTTACTGTTCTACAGTACCTGGAAGGAAGGAATTTCACCAACAGCTCTTGAAAGTCAACCTTCTCCTCTTTTTTACACTTGGTGTTCCGGACTCTAGCAGATCTCCTTTTTGCAGTTTCACCACTATCTTCTGTAATTCTCCTTCTCTTCACCCCTTTCTTAGATTTATCACCTGCAGATATGTCACCTAGAAACAGAATTTTAAAAAAGAAAATATATATATACACTAACAGGTTAAATTGCCAAACAAAAAGTGGATAATCTTTATTAAAAAAAAAAAAAGTTATTTGAGGCTGACACTTTATTTTATTCTACAGCAACACCTGAGATTCTCAGGTTCCGTTCTGAAGACAGTGACAAAAATTTTAAAATAATAATTAAAATATTAATTTAGTAGAAACTGGCTATGGCATTTTTCATAGAAATGCTGGTCTGAGGCAAGAAGCAGACTTTTTGAAAATTCTAAATTTCATGATTCATTATTTTATTCTTCACTAAGTTTATGAAATGGGAATCAGAGGAGTCTGCCTTTAACTCCAGCAACACTTGTAAATTCCCTTGAATATCAACAAAATACTGGTAACTCCTTGATAGTTTTAAATACATAAATAAATATACAGCTACAGTATAAATATTCAAACCTCTTGCTACAGATTTCAAATAATAATAGCTGACAGCTTGGTTCTCTCAGGTCCTTAAAGTTACACATGAGCAGAAGAATAATCCAGTCATCTTTTCCTATAATAGCTCTTTCATTCTAAGGAGCTCAAAAGTTTTCACAACATTAAAAGTCTGAGATGCATCACTGCGGGAATGGAGTCATGATTCCTCTCATCTTAAAGACTGAAAAACTGAAGTATGAGTTAATAGCACAAAACCAGAAGACATTAGATACTCCTGCACTGGAGTAACAACTGGAAACAAACCAACCTGACTCTCAGATCCATTAGACAGTAAAGTCAGTCCACTCTCCTGAGCACTAGCTGTATGTCTTAGTCAGGAATCAACGATTTTCATGCAGTTTAGGTGGCCTTCCTTTTCTAATGTGAATTGTTAACAGAACTTAATTTTATGGAGCTCAACTTCACTTCTTCTACCAGATGTTAATACGTATGCTGAAAAGTTTCTGAATCCACCAACAGGCAGTTTAAAGACCGCATTTCCCAATTAATTCTGTAGTGCTTTTAATACCCAGATAGATAGGAAAGATATCTTGAATCTCAGACTGAAGTACCTTGCTCACCTACAGTAGCTCCTGGTTCCAATGAATTCTGACTGTGACTTGGAAAGTTGGGTGTCACTGGGGTAAAAGGTAATACAGGATCTGGCATTGTCACCACTGGGTTAGTGCTAACAGGAGTCGGCTGAATAACACTGACAGGAGTAGAGGTAGGAGAAAGAATCAAATGTTGAACTGGGTCTCGGTATTCTGAGAGATCAATTCTCTTTCCCAGACTGGGTCGAGGAGGGTCGCATGTTGTGAGGTGGTGATACATGGCGAGTAAAGCTTCTCCTAAACACTTCCACCTGCATGTAGAAACACAATGGCATCAAAACTTCATTAATGCTTGTCACATTATTTTCTAAATTATATTTTAAAACCTAACAGCATTCAACATTGTTCTTCTCCAATAGCTCAGAGGTAGCAAGAGCAACTTTTCCATGGGAGAGGAATACACATCTGACTGTCAAAATCTGTCCCACAACCAGAAAAGCTGGAGAATATCTTTCTGTATTTCCTGTCATATGGACCATTGACAATTTCACGCCTGGAACAGATGTTCCAGGAGCTTTCTTTCTAAAATACACCACTCACAAATACAGTGGCATGTGGCAGCAGGCAAAAGTTTTCAGAGGCAACTGGTGACTTGGTTGCAGTAGAAAGGAAATGGGAGTCAACAATGTGCCTGATCTCAAAAAACGTCTCTAACAAAAAAAGTCTATGCAGTGGTTGCTGAGGAAATTACTCTATACTGAATGCTAGAAAAGAAGTGTCAAGGAACCATTTTCAGATTCTTCACTCAACCAACAATAAAAAACATCTCACCCTTATCCACAAGTAGAGCAGCTTCTCTGCAATGGGATCTATGTGCAGAGTCCATTGATATTCCAGAAAAATACATGCAATAAAAAACCAAACTAAAACGAATCCTTTCTGCCTCAATAAAGACATATGTAACAACTCATTAGTATCCTTGTGCCTTGCTGCAAATAAAGAACTGTAATTTATTTCTAAGTTTCCACTATCCCAATAGTAAAAACATTTTTTAAAAAGCTAAACTTACTTTGAAGTTTATATATAAACCAGTCATATATGAAAAATCCAGTAATACAGCTGGAATGGCTGCCAAATCACTAAATCATTCTTAGTTTGTGGTTTTGGTTTTTTAGTTTTTGCGGTTTGGTGGTTGTTGTTGTTGGGTTTTTTTGCATCAACGGTGTTAACTCAAAGGTTGAAAACTGACAGATATGGGGCTTACGCTAAAATTCTAACCAGATCAAAACAACCTATAGACTCATAAAATACCAAAAACATTGGGGGTCTTTTTTGTTTGTTTTCACAAGAGAAAAAGTGTTACAAAGAAACCTGAAGTGCAACACAGTTGTCAGCATAAGTGGCTTTAGAGAAACCTTTTAAAAACACAAAATATGAAGACATACGTGAGAAAAGGAATTGGCTGGACCAGTCTGAGGTCTGGTTCTCTCTCACGCACCAGCAAAGTCTGTCTTTTCTTACGTAGCTCCAGGGCTTCATCTATGATTCTTCCTGTTTCAGCTGCACTCACATTTACATTATGGATAGACATGTCACTAAGAAATAATAAGAAATGAAAACAAGTTAAAGCTTTTGGGTTTTGGCTGTTTTTTTGTTTGGTTGGTTGGGGTTTTTTTTAAAGACTGAGGAGATTCATTTGATATATTCCTATAATGTAACATAAACAGTGTTAAAACAAGCATCCAAATAACATTATTTTACAAACTTTATAGCATGCATATAGAAGTGCTCACCATTCAAAATCTTTGTTCTACCTTAAAAACCGAAGGATAAAGAGATTGTCCTATTCGTCTTCCAAACACCAAAAAATGAAGGAAAGCAGGAGGTTTTATTTTTTTTTCCTTTCTTGGACAGGAGCTTTTGGTTCCGAAACAAACTGTATGGCTGAGGAATTCCTTTCATTCCAAAGTGCTATTTTGAGGAATTAATATCATCACAAACAAAATTTGAAGTTCAAAATTGTCTTGTATTGTCTGAGCCTAGGACTGAATTTTTGAAAGATGACCCACTTTTGCAGGGAGATCACAATCCAAAAACAAAAAAACAAGTGGCTAAAAGCGCTGGCTTAATTCAGCATGTAACTCATTTTAAGAGCCAGACCTCAGGCAGCTTAACAAATCAAGGTCTCTATAACTAAACAACTGTCTGTTAAAGGGATACTGCTATCCATAGAATCCTAGAGCCTTAAAAACTCAGTTATTCTTTCTCTTCTATATCTTCTGAATACTCTGTATTTTCACATTTTAGATGTTACAGTAGTCTAAAATGTAAAACATGTTATTGACCGATTTATTGCATAACTTAAGATGCATGCTAGGATAAATGTTCCACTTCCATTCACCACACTCAAAGGGTACTGAGGTTACCTGCACTATATCCAGTGAGGCAGAACTATAATTAAACTAAAAACTTCACTTCTTTCTCAAATTCCGCTGACCATCACAACAACATATTACAGTATCAGAAGCAGCTCTGATGTTGAATGGTCAGTTAACTTGGACAGATGCTGTTTATTTTTCAGGCCCATACTGTATTTTCCCACTTTCCTCCAACCTACTCATACTACAAAATTCACACAGAAAGAGACAGTTTACCTTGCAGAGCTACAGGATACCAAACTTTTACTAAAAGTTTTACATACTGCAATTAAAAAAAAAAGGAATAAAATCTCAAACATAATATTGCAAAATCTTTTCAGAGTTGCAGTGGTCTGAAAGTTCAATAAACTAAGATTTTTGGCACCGCAGGAACTAATGAAACGTACAGTCTTCTGATTGTACTCATCAACAAAAATCAGTTGGACTCCCTGAAACCTACTGATATGAGAATATTGTATCAAGTCACAAATTTGTAACTGCTTGGAAAAGCACTGAAGTCTGTGGTGTATTGTTTTTTTTCCAGTGAGGAAAAGAAAACTCCCAAAATGAATGCTGCAGCAATCATCTGCAAATAAATAAATAAACAAAAGGAACAGGGATATTACAAGAGGTCTAGGTATGAAAATGAGTAAGCAACAGCAAACGGATTTTTTGCTTCTTTCCACCTCACTACAAAAGTAACTATTGAAGAACAATCTGTCAGCAGCACCAACACTTAACATGGATTTATTATTCAGAAGACAGGTCAGCAAGATACTGTTATAGCTTAAAGCATTATTTCTCAACAGCTTTTCTGAACTACCCCAAACCCAAAATTTACACCCCAAATGTAGTCTATACTATAAGATGACATTTACCATTTGAGGAACATCCTTAAGGAATCTTTCCGGAGGCAAGGCTGCTCCTCAAAGATCTTCTCCTTCAGAACCAGTCCTTTGCTATATAGACAGTCTTTTTCAAGAGCTTTGCAGATAAAGTACAAACACGCTGACAGAGAAACAGAAAAAGAACGGTCAGTTGCCACTTTGGCTAACTCAAAAGCTCCCATTTCTGGGTATACACGACTAAATTCCAAAATAACACGACAGTTACATAGACCAATAGCTTTGCAACATGTCAAATAATTACACACATACAGTCAAAATAACCTATCATGTCTTCCCAAGTGTCATATCCAGAAAAAGAATATTGGTAATTTTGTTTAAACAATGTTTGCAGTACATCTTTTATTTACTTTCAAAAGTCCATTTCTGTACAAAAGAAATTAGGATCATAAAGCAGAATCACAACTGTTTACCGTTTTCATGTTATCAAATGTCTTAACTGCAGATTCCATTAGCGTAACAAGCAATGAATCCCACCAGGTTTTTGCTCACATGGGCAATTATGTGAAGAGAACTAGGACCATTCCAGTAGGATAAACCAAGGGATCAGATTCAGCATTTCTGCCATCTGGCAATTTCTCTCCTAAACTTCATTTGAATCAGTTCATCCACTGGATAAGATTTTAGGGTCAGTTGTATCAACTGCTGTAACTACAATTAATCATAATAGGCTATGAACTAGACTGTAGTCTTACACACAATTCCTGGAACTATGTAGCTGGAAGTGACTAGAAAGACAAAATTAATGTACATTGAAAGGGAGGAGAACAGTCTACAGGGAAAGTTCTTGCAGAGGCTCTGATCTAAGAGACCACAGGCATTTATTTTTAGGGTAACCAGAATCGATACAAACCATCATACTTTATCACAAAATAAAAAAATCTCTACCTCGAAGTAAAAATCTCCATTATACCCTAATGCACTGCTTATGCAAGATACAGTTTCTCTCATACGATTGCTTGTTACAATTTTTTATTGATATGTGAAATTACATATTTCTTGAAAATTTTTTTAGTGTACTGTACTTACTTGTGTAGTCACTGAGTGTGTACAAGATTGTGATAAGGTTATCTAAACAAGGCCAGTGATCAGGATTACACCTGAGACCTTCTTCAAAAGCGTGACGAGCCAAAGGTAGGCGTATTAGTTTTACTGCCACACGACCAATTTTATACCACAGGTTGACATCAGTAGAGTCTAGCATTACAGCCTAGAAAGCATAACAAACAACATTGTTCACATTTCAGACACGCACATCCGCTTATCTACAGGGACGGGCACTGTTTTCAATAGGGACACTAAGGGTTTGGGGACTGAAGAGTGAACCAGTTATATCACATGTAACATCAGAAAGTACACAGAATCCAGACACACACACATACAAATAATGTATGCTGAAAGGTGTACACCTGCATTTTAGCAAGTGTCTGCAAATATTGAGGCTCCTGTGTTTTATTTCAGCTGTACTGTACCTCCAAATAAAACTCCATGGCTGTCTCTAAGTCATCCCGTTGTGCTGCTAATTGTGCTAGGTTTTTATAAGTGGAATATTTTAACATCAAGCCTGGATGTTTCAGCCCTTCTTTCTCATCACCAGAAAGAACTGCCTAGAAATGACAAAACAAATACAATGCAGGCATCAGGAATTAAACAGGAAAAAAGAGCAGCAAACAACTTGCCAATTGATAACACTGACATTTCTAATCAGTCAATAAAATGAAATAATACAAAACATAATAAAAATAGTTTACAGAGCTTCATTCTGTAAAGGTCACTGACCTCTCGCAGAAGACGAATCTCAAGCAGCTCATGATAAGCTTTAGCAGACTCTTCAAATCGGTCATGTTTCTGAAGGTCCAAAGCTTTGTGGTACAAAGCAAAAGCTTCTGCTTCCTGTAGTTTAAAAATCAGAACCTATTTTGTAGGGCAACTTTATTAAATATATTTGTTACAACATACTTGTATTTATTATGAATATCAGTGGTTTCACACTTTGAACACCTTCTCTTGTACAGCAGTCCACATCGAGTGTATAGCAGAACATTAGCCTTACTGACCCAATACAACACATTTGAGTGAAGTTTTAGCTTGCTAAAGCAGGATTCAAGAGATAAGACAGTAAAAACTTTCTTAAGAACAAAAATCTATGGTCAAACAATCCCTGCAATAAAAGAGGATGACTCCCATTGAGACAAAACTCCATTAAGAAGTTGTGGATTTACTTACTTGAGCTTCCTTTGTCTGTGTCTTATGACTTTTGAAGGTACCTTCGTAGTCATCCTCAATTGTAGAGCTCGCGTTCAGTGCTGCGATTCGAATCTAGAACGACAGTTGAGAAGTGACAAAAAATGTTACATTTATACATGCCCCAGTTTCCCTTGCAAACTAGATTTTTCTCATTTTTCTTACTTTAGTTGTTAAATGGACTATATTGACAGATCTCTTCATAAAGTCACAAGGACTGCAAGGAATTTAGCCATTACTATTTGCAATTAATAATACATCAAAACAATTTTCCCCCACCAAAGTCATCTGATAAAACAAAATTTCAAGCTTCTTTCAAGTAACAGCTTCCCTAGAACGGACGTGAGCATTGCAGTGATTTTTTCAAATTCTTAATGTACCAATAACTACAATCACTCTGAAAACAATGTTCTCATTATGTCA